AAACCATATATTGAAGGCTTTTCTTTTCAGACAATGTATTTTTCAGTTGTATAATTTCCTGTGATTCTTTTTTTGGTTTCTATTTCTTTTACAAGATTTACTATATGCTTATCCATTGTGGACACATTTTTCTTTATATAATTGGCCATAGTTATCATAGCTGTTTTAAAATTTTGGTCTGATATTTTCAACATTGAGTTATATTGCATTAGGTCTACATTGACTGCTTTCTTTCCTTAGATTGGGCCATATATTCCTAGTTTGTTTTATGTGAAATAATTAGAATTTTACCCGGGACCTGGTGAATACTATGTAGAGATTCTATTATATTAATTTTATAATTGTTGTTCTTTTTAGTTTTAGCAGGTAGGTAATTTGGTTGAACTCAAAAACTTGTTCTCTTGGGTGGTGGTTCTTATCTGTTTAATTCTTTCATATTTCTGGGATGCCTTGAACATATTCCACACACATGTAGTTTAGGGGTTGGCCATAGATTTGGCTGAACTAATAAATAGAAGTTGAAGTACTCTCTGGCTCTCTCTATTTCCAGCATTTTCTCATCATGTTCAGTAGATATGGTTATTTTAAACTTTGTCTTCTGTTTTTTATGCAGGCAGATCATGAAGTTGAAAGACAGCTAAGAAAACAAATACATTGAACCTCTGGTGATTTCAGCCTATGATCCACAACTCACCTGCAGCTCATCATTTAATGTTCTGACATAAGTTTAGATATAGGAGATTATGGGTTGCTTTTCCTGTTTATTTACTAAATCTAGTTTGAGTTGAATTTTTAATTTTTTTTCCAGTGTAGGACTTAATCTATTTGGAAGCCTTCTCAAGTATTTCAGTCAGGGGACAAATCCTACCTCATTCATTCCTTGCCATAGGATTAGGTAAAAAGGCCTGTAAAATCAATCACACATTGCTCCAACTTCTAGACTACAGAAAGAATCTAAGAATCTCGGTCAAATCCCATATAGAGAAAATGTTAGACTGAGAATCTCTCAGCTTTTTAAATTATGTCACTAAGAGTTCATGTTAAAGGCTTTATCTCCATTTTTTACTGTTATTTCAATAAAGCTAGCTTAAGGAAAAATAAAGGTAGTGCATATAGTGAAACAAAGTCAAGTGAAACCAAGAAAGAGAAAAAGATTGATTCACTCAGCCAAC